GAATTTTCCAGTTTATTGTGATCCACACAGTCAAAGGCTTTGGCATAATCAATAAAGCAGAAATAGATGTTTTTCTCAAACTCTGTTGCTTTTTTGATGATCCAGTGGATGTTGGCAATTTGATCACTGGTTCCTCTGCCTTTTCTAAAACCAGCTTGAACATCTAGCAGTTCACGGTTCACGTATTGCTGAAGCCTGGCTTGGAGAATTTTGAGCATTACTTTACTAGTGTGTGAGATAAGTGGAATTGTGCAGTAGTTTGAGCATTCTTTGGCATTGCCTTTCTTTGGGATTGGAATGAAAACTGACCTTTTCCAGTCCTGTAGCCACTGCTGAGTTTTCCAGATTTTCTGGCATATTGAGTGCAGCACTTTCACAGCATCATCTTTTAGGGTTTGAAATAGCTCAACTAGAATTCCATCCTCTCCACTCGCTTTGTTCTTAGTGATGCTTCCTAAAGCCCATTTGACTTCACATTCCAGGATGTCTGGCTCTAGGTGAGTGATGACACCATTGTGATTTTATGTGTCATTAAGATCTTTGTAGAGTTCTTCTGTGTATTCTTGTCACCTCTTCTTAATATCTTCTGCTTCTCTTAGGTCTATACTATTTCTGTCCTTTATTGAGCCCATCTTTGCATGAAATATTCCCTTAGTATTTCTAATTTTCTTGAAGAGATCTCTAGTCTTTCCCATTCTATTGTTTTTCCTCTATTTCTTTGCATCGATAGCTGAGGAAGGTTTTCTTATCTCTCCTTGCTATTCTCTGTAACTCCGCATTCAGATGGGTATATCTTTCCTTTTCTCCTTTGCTTTTTCAGTTCCCTTCTTTTCACAGCTATTTGTAATGCCTCCTCAGACAGCCATTTTGCTTTTTTGAAGTTTTTTTTCTTGGGGATGATCTTGATCCCTGTCTCCTGTACAATGTCATGAAACTCCATCCATAGTTCATCAGGCACTCTGTCTATCAGATCTAGTCCCTTAAATCTATTTCTCACTTCCAATGTATAATCATAAGGGATTTGATTTAGGTCATACCTCAATGGTCTAGTGGTTTCCCCCACTTTCTTCAATTTAAGTCTGAATTTGGCAATAAAAAGTTCTTGATCTGAGCCACAGTCAGCTCCCAGTCTTGTTTTTGCTGACTGTATAGAGCTTCTCCATCTTTGGCTGCAAAGAACATAATCAGTCTGATTCCGGTGTTGGCCATCTGGTGGTGTCCATGTCTAGAGTCTTCTCTTGTGTTGTTGGAAGACAGCATTTGCTATGACCAGTGCATTCTCTTGGCAAAACTCTATTAGCCTTTGCCCTGATTCATTCTGTACTCCAAGGCCAAACTTGCCTGTCACTCCAGGTGTTTCTTGACTTCCTAATTTTGCTTTCCAGTCTGCTATAATGAAAAGGACATCTTTTTTAGGTGTTAGTTCTAAAAGGGCTTGTAGTTCTTCATAGAGCCATTCAGCTTCAGCTTCTTCAGCATTACTGGTCAGGGCATAGACTTGGATTACCGTGATATTGAATGGTTTGCCTTGGAAACGAACAGAGATCATTCTGTCGTTTTGGAGACTGCATCTAAGTACTGCATTTCGGACTCTTTTGTTGACCATGATGGCTACTCCATTTCTTCTAAGGGATCCCTGCCCACAGCAGTAGATATAATGGTCATCTGAATTAAATTCACCCATTCCAGTCCACTGATTCCTAGAATGTCAGTCTTCACTCTTACTATCTCCTGTTTGACCATTTCCAATTTGCCTTGATTCATGGACCTAACAGTCCAGGTTACTATGCAATATTGCTCCTTACAGCATCAGACCTTGCTTCTATCACCAGTCACATCCACAACTGGATGTTGTTTTTGCTTTGGCTACATCCCTTCATTCTTTCTGGAGTTATTTCTCCACTGATCTCCTGGGGCATATTGTGCACCTACCAACCTGGGAAACTCATCTTTCAGTGTCCTATCTTTTTGCCTTTTCATCACCACAATCACAGAAAACTAGCCAGTCTGATCACATGGACCACGGCCTTGTCTAACTCAGTGAAACTAAGCCATTCTGTGTGGGGCCACCCAAGACAGCTGGGTCATGGTAGAGAGGTCTGACAGAATGTGGTCCACTGGAGAAGGGAATGGCAAACCACTTCAGTATTCTTGCCTTGAGAACCCCATGAACAGTATGGAATAAGAATAATAAATAACAGTTATAAAGTACTTTTTATGTGAAAGGCATCATACCAAGGGTTACAGATGCATTGAAGAGTCTAAATATTACAGGCAAATTTTCTAAGTTGCAGATTAGGAATTCATTAAATTAGAATAATGATTCCTAACTACCTTGTGCATTTCTTGTATAGATAAATGGGCATGCGAATATGCTTTGGAAATGACAGAGCATGAAACAAATAGAAAACTATATGATTATTCTAAAGAGAGTAAGTAACAAGAAAGATGAAATTTTGAGTAGATAAAAATAATAGAAAACTTTTGATATTAAGAAATAATTTAAAGAAGCACTATTGAGACTGAAAAACAAATAACTGAGAAGGAAAAGTCAAAAGTTTAGGTTGAAGCTAGTAAGAAATACAGGTTGTTTCAAAGAAGATAGTCCACTGGTGACAGTAAAATTTAAGACCACTTGAAATGAACCAAAGTAGAGAAACAATAACATAAGCTGGAAAGCAGAAGGACAGGTAAAGAAATAATATTTTAAAATTTGAAAGCATTTGAGCTGAGCAGCAAGCAATAAAGAAAATCATAATTATTATGTAACCTCTGTGTATCTCCATTTTGTTACAGTTAAAATACACTATATATTGAAGCTATTAATAGCAATGCAAGCTAAGCATTTGTAGTCTCATTTTCAATATGATTTTTAAGTGTATTAAAACTAACTTTTATGTTTGATGAAAACACTTTTCACATTTTAAAATTTATTTTAGTTTTGTTAGCTTTTATTTCTTAGATTTAAATTAATATTAATCCAAAGTTATAATTTTTTATTATTATTTATTTTATAATGTTAATTCTTTGCAGCATATTGCCCCTTCATGATGAAGAGAAACATTAACTGGCTATATTTTTCAAATTATGCTTAATGGAGCCTAAGAATGTTAGAAGTATCTTAGTGACAGCTGCCAAAAGGCAGTGTGAAGGACAGAAATGCAGAAAGTAACAGGGGAAACAGACAGCGTCTGAGCTCTGTAGTCACACTTAAGTCTGGGAAGTGCCAGTTTTTTCTCCTTTGAATGAAGATTGAAATATAATATAAAATTAATTTTTAACAAAGTCTCTTGCCTTAATTGTTCTGAGTTCTTGAGTTTATGGTGAACATTGAGACTCTCATTTTACATTTCACAGCATGTTGCTACCCATTCTTTCCTAGATATTTTATAAAATAATACTCATTTTCTTTTTATTTGGTTGATGTAATTTTTTATGATAACATAGCTTTCATATAACTGTAACTTCAGAGTATCCTAAGGTACTTACTCCATCTTTTATTATTGCAGGAATCTAATTAACCTTTAAAAATAATTAGGACTTTTTGAAATGCAAATGTCAGAAACTCCATAGAAACAAGATTACATAAAAAGATAATTTATTGGTTTACAAAACCCAAGGAAGGAATGAACACTAGAAATGTAAAAAAGACAAAAATGTAGCTGAGACTGAGCAACAGTAGGAACCAGGAAACGAAGCAGTCTAAAGGTTCATCTTCTCTCTCTCTCTTTCCCTTTCTCATTCTCCCCCACCAGCCCCCTTCTCTAGCACTAAGATTGTTACCAGCTCCTAGTCACTGGACTCAATTCTGCACAGTGAATTCTGGGTAAAGGCCAATTTTGATTGGCCCATTTTGAGTCAGTGGTTCACTCAGAACTAGTCAATTGTAGCCAACAAAATAGGTTATAAAAAAAGCTATTACAGTTCCCACATCAGCAACAGTGGGAAGGTAAGGTTGGAGAGCAGATATAGGCTCAAATATCCATGGCCTAGATAAGTTAATTTATTGCTCAAATAGCAGTCTTGGTATATAGTCAAATACATGCTCCATAATTTCAGGGACCAGAGCTGCTGCTTTCTTGTAGTTCTATAAGACCTAGGGTTTACCCTTGATCACATGACTTGTCCTGGCTCATCAACATGCTATTTGCATTAGTTGAAAGGAGATAAAGGAAAAGGAGAAGGCATACTTTTTCTTTTTAAGGGAACCACCCCAAAGTTACATGTGTTACTTTTGCTTAAGACTTCAGTCACATAGTCATATTTTTTTGCAAGGTAAGCCCAAGATACACTCTCTTCTTTCCTTTGTATCACAAAATGGATATTTTAGAGTGTCTTGTAAATAGTGATGTTTCCTTTAAAATCAAGCAAATATATATATACATATATATATATTTATATAGTAAATCATTAACTCCAAGAGGAAAACGATGTGAGAAAGAAAATGAAATCATAGTGTAACCATAGAATACTATTAGGTTCAATTGTGAATCAAATTTAAATACTAAAAATAATGAAAGTCCTAGAATGTGAAAGTCCTAGATGTGGATTTGGCCCCAAATCATGATATCATTATACTGAAAAGATGGAGAAAATGGAAGTTGTGAGAGAGCTAAAATCATTGCTTATGCATGACAAACCCCAGAGATAAACTTGAGAAATTAAGAGATAGTAGTATTTGCCTATTATTTAGAAATATAGAGTCAAATAACAATAAATAGCTAGAGGAGTTAGAGTAGCTGGCAGGGAGCAGGCACTATACAATTTACAGATCAGATACTATCTATGAAGTTTGAAACATCCAAACAAGGTGGTATTGTTTTCCTATTTTCTTTTGAAGACGCTGAAGCCTTGGGGTATCAGGTGTAACTTTCTCAAGCTCTTATAGCTAGTAAGTAGCAGAGCTGGGATTCAAACTTGGCCTCTGACTCCAAAGTATGGACCAAGGATGATGGTGATGGTGATGATAGTAAAAACACTGGGATGTCTTTCTATTTCAGAACCGGACATTTTTCAAGATTACATTAAGCCCTACTTAGAACAAGCACGTCGAATCTGGCCATGGCTCACTGGGGCAGCTGTGGTTGGGTCTGTCCTTACTGCTGTACTGGGAGGACTTACTAGCCTGTTATGTCGTCGAAAGAGAAACCAGCTTCCTGAAGAAAAGCAGCCCCTGCTCATGGAAAAAGAAGATTACCACAATTTGTTGTATCAGAGCCATTTATGAAAGGCTTAAGCAATAGAATTAGGGCAAAAAACCTGACCTCACTATAACTTAAATGATGTTAAAGTCCCCAGGGGATGTCCCAGTGGAAATCCTTGGCATGTGTCTACGGAGACCCTTATCAGAACTGTTATCAGTACAAAATGTTCCCCTCCTCCTACTCAGGCAGAAGCCACCTGTGCTTGCTTTGCTGGATTTTGATCATTCCCCGAAGAGTTTTCCTCAAGCTCCTATTTCCAAGGAAAGGATGTCCTTTGGTAATAAGTAACTGCTAGATGTATCTGAATGAAAGTGCTCTTGTAAAATATGGGGACGTGTGTGATTCTTTTCCTCTTGATTGTGGAATGACTTGTTCTTTTTATTATCCCCTTTCTTTGATTTTAATAAAATAGCAACAAATTTACACTGATTGACTCCTTTGAGCTTGATAAATACATTCCAATTATCTTAAGAAAGTATAATGTTCCCCTTATATTTTACATTCTTGCTCCAAAATATGTTATGGACTTCAAGTAGAAAATAGTCTTCAGAACTTTCCTGCCATAGTTCCTGCCATGACTGTACATTTGAAGGTCACTGACAGCAAGGACATTTCTCCTGCAAAGAATCAAGCTAAGTACTTGTCTCAAGATGTCCTCACTAAATGTGTTGACAATAAAGATAATAATCTTATTATAATGCTTTTAAAATATCGTCTAAAAAGGACTTAATTTTATTAGAGAATGTTTAAAATGCTGTGAAACATTTGCTAGTAGAGAACAATTACATGAATATTAGCCTCTCTGTAGTTTTAGTAAAATAGCTTATTTCTGTTTTTCCTGGTGATTAAGACCTTAAATTAAGATGTCCAGATAATCTTGCTACTTGAATGTTTGGTCCAGTTGAATTTCTAAAAATAATCCAATTGATATTCCATTCCTATTATTGTTATGTACAGCAGAAAAAACTAGAACAAGCGGGTGGAAGTTATCAGGGACCCATTTGGGTATAATAAAAGGAAAAACTGTCCAATATTCAGAGTTTTCCAGAACCAAAATGGACATTTTTGGAAAATAATAAGTGTTTGCCACTAGAGTTCTTTACATAGAGGTTGGATGACAAATTTGACTTGAATTCTATAAATAGTCTATAGTCAGATTGAGTCTATAGTCATACTTATTTACATTGGCCCAGGGCTTATAACAACTCCCAATTTAGAAATGAGGCCAAACGTGATCTAGAAAAAGTCCTTCTGACTCTGCCACAGTATTTCAGGGTGTTTCACCAGATTTCATCTTCTACCGTCTTATCCACACTCAATAGCTCTGTGCTTGAATCCCTAGTCTCTTTTAGTTCCCTTGTGTCTAGTTTGCATTTAACTGCTCAGCATTTTTAGTTATGCATCTCCATTTGACTGCTTGACCTATACTTCCAGCCTCATCCCTAAATGCTGTCTTTTCATTCTCTCTCTCTTGAGATGGCCATGCTTTTAAAACAGATTTATCCAATCCAAGCTCCAGAAATCCACCTGAGTCTGACACCTAAACCTCTACATCTCTGGAATGGTATTTAAGAGAGGACCCATTGACCTGTATGGTACCTTTCAATTAAAATGTCCTACAATTCCTATAAAGCCTGCCATGTAGTGTTCAGATTGTTTATGAATGCACTTAGAAATTCAGAGAAAAGTAAAAATCATCTTGCTATATACATTGGTCAGATGATTTTGGCTAATTTTCATCTAGAACAAATAAAAATTTACAATTATTGACATAATGCCATCAACTCTCAGAGATTACTAATAGTTAATAAACTCAGTTTATATAGCAACATTCATCTTCTAACTCATTTTAGCTGTCAGTCATCATTTGCTGGCTTATCTAATTTCTGATGCCCAGAGGAGAAAATCAGGCCAGGGATGGGTAGTAGCATGTTTATTTATCAACACAGAGGAAGGTCTGTGGGATTAGAGGGCAAATACTACAGCTTATGTCCTCCACTTGGTACAGAACCAGAACTATAAGATTTAAAATAAATTAGCAATAACATTTGAGGAGGAATTTTGTTGTTGTTGTTGCTCAGTTGCTAATCTGTGTCCAACTCTTTGTGACCCCATGGACTGCACGCCAGGCTCCCCTGTCCTTCTCCATCTCCTGGAGGTGCTCAAACTCATGTCCATTGAGTCAGTGATGCCATCCAACCATCTCATCCTCTGTCATTCCCTTCTCCTCCCACCTTCAATCTTCCCCAGCATCAGGATCTTTTCTAATGAGTCAGTTCTTCGCATCAGGTGGCCAAAGTATTGGAGTTTCAGCTTCAGTATCAGTCCTTCCAGTGAATATTAAGGACTGATTTCCTTTAGGATGGACTGGTTGGATCTCCTTGCAGTCCAAGGGACTCTCAAGAATCTTCTCTAACACCAAAATTTGAACGAACAGAAACTAGTACAACAGAGCAAAGAGTGGCAAAATAAATTTTGATGAGGTCTGAAGAAAATTCTCGAGAAACAGGAATAGTGACTGTGGTTGCCTAGTCTGATCTCAGAATGCAAAATAATTATTTAGCTAAATTTGATTTGAAAGAAATTTTCAGTCCAGGTGACATTTTAAATCATTTTTACAAAGCATCTTGAATCAAAATCTACCCAAGGAATTTTCATTGCTGCTGAAGGGATCTGTGTGAATTCATTCTCTTCCTTATCACAAGGCAATTCCCTCTTTTATCACTTAACTTCAGCGTAGAATATCATTTTGTTTCTCTAGAGGCTCAGGTTATCCACTTGTATAGCAACAACATCTGTGATAAAACCACCACCACACTGACTCCATGGTTTTCTCAATAAGACGCCAAAATTACATAACTGATATTTTAAGATACTTGGCAGTTTCATTAAATGCTAATCAGCATTATATTCTGTGGCTTTATTTTATAGTGAGGATTTTAGAAATTGCTTCGTTTGGGGCTCTGCTGTTTTTCCATTACTACATTAGAAGTCACATTTTGTTACAGAGAAAGAAAGAAGCAGCTGCCTCTCTTTTTGTTCCTCTCTCTGTGCCTTAGTTTTTTTTAAAGACTATTTTTAGTACCCAACCTTTCCAACAAGTCAAATGTATAATTCTCCATCTGTAGAAATAAATATGTGATGGGTACTAGTCATTTCAACAGTGTCTCTTGCTGGCTGACAACTGGCTTTGATTGTGAATGTTTTAAAATAGCCTTTCCCTTGTTTATATGGGCTTTGATTTGTAGGAACAGTTTTCCTTGTCATCATAAAAAAAAGGCCTCATTGGGGCCACCTATTGTGAGCTTGTGTTATTTTGGAGGGCATGTCAGTAGAACAAAGATCCACTGGCCTTCTGATTAGACTCCTTCTGAAAGCTGATAAAATGCAAGTAAGAGTTTTTTAACTTTGTGTTGCTTATTTTCAAAAGCATTTGCCAGTTTGTACAGTATATTGAATATAAAATTGCCTTTGGTAACCACTGGAGGACTTAAGGGCTTTCAAATCCTTCAGCTATTTAAAATGGTAAGAAATCTTTTAAGTATTTTCTTTTAAATCAAAACCTTATTAAAACTCTAGATAGCCTACGTTTATCTAATTGTTTCATGAGTTCTTTTCTTAATAGCAATATTCTTATAACTTCATGTTAATCTACCAATTCTTGTTATGTTTTTTAATCATTTTTAATGGTGATTTCTAATTTCTTCTTTTAAAATGAATAGTAAAGATCTTAATGCAGTGAGTGGTTATGATGTTCCAAGAACTGTGATAAACACAGCATATTAACATATGTTAATTCATCTAATCTTCATGTTGTCAGTATGAGAGTATTATTCATATTTTTAAATGAGACTGTGGCTTAAGCAGAAGACTTGCCTTCCCTATTTCCATATGCATTCAGTATTTTAGGTAATTTAGCTCGGATTTGAATCCAGTTCTTCTCCATGATTATAAATTTCATTATTTGTTATTCAGTTATGTTGACATGTCCTACTTTATCAACTGTCTTTCCTGAATATTTAGACTTCCTCTAGCTCTAAATTATTGCTGTAATGAATATCCTGATGCATTTTGCATCTTATTTCACTTCATTTGTTTTCCAGGAGTAGAATCTCTGGGTCAAAGCATTTGAATGAATTGTCATATGCTTTTGAAAAGGGTTGCATTGATCAAAAAATGCAAAAAGATGGAGCCTAAAAATAAGAGATCAAAAGGAATGAAGAAGAAAATGCAAAGGTGAAGAACTTAGAAGAAGAAAGAAGTGTTGCAAGTCTCTCTGAGAGGAACTGAAGACTTAATTGCCACTTCACTTGGTGCTTCTTCTCATGAAACTTTTTCAAATAATAACATTTATGTAATGAGCATTTTCTCTCATTAAAATCAGAAGAAAATACAGACTGAGGCCATTTCAGAAAGGTAGGGAGAAACATGCATGTAAATTGGTTCTCAGGTAAGATATTTTTAGAAATGAGTACATCTTGGCTAGGTAGAAACATGTGCGTACATTTCAGAATCATATAGGAATGAAAACAGCAAAACCAGGAATCCATACTTGGAAGAGTAAGCCCAAGGCATCAAAATAGTCTGAATCAAAACAGAGTCAGGGTCAGCGATTAGGATAGATAGGAGATCATGTGACAGGGTAGGGAAGGCTGGAAAGGACCTGAAAATCAAGCCCAAGACGAGTTTGAACCACTTGTTTTCACTGCTCTTTGAGAAAGTTCTGCATTCTGCCTGGAATTTGGTCATGCGTGCTCAGTTGCTTCAGCCACGTCCGACTCTTTGTGACCCCCATGGACTGTAGCATGCCCGACTCCTCTGTCATGGGATTCTCCAGGCAAGAATACTGGAGTGGGTTGCCAGGCCCTCCTCCAGGGGATCTTCCTGACCTGACCCAGGGATCGAACCCCAGTGTCTTATGTCTCCTGCGTTGATAGGCAGGTTCTTTACCATTAGCACCACCTGAATTTGGTCAGTCTTCCTTATCAAATCATGTCATTTTAAAACATTCTTACCAGAGGAA